CTGCAGATGGGCCAAGAACCAAAAGAAAAATACGTTGCGCATGAGGATACCGAGAAATATGCCAAACATCGATATATCCATTCGGCATTTCAGATTTGATAACCGATTTGTGCAAAAAAATAAAACTTCTATTCGGAATCGAATCGTGGTTGTCTCTCTAAGGAACTTTAAGTCCCATATTCTGACAGTTCCCTTCAGTTTGACTTGCCTAACGCATTCTTCAAGGCAGCAACAACATCTTTATATAAATATATATATACTTATAGACATATATATATATATATATATAAATATATACATATACAGAAATATAACATATGCATGATGGTTACTTACGCGCAGATCTAGTTGCCGAATTTTCAGTTGAATTTTTCAGCAAATTGCAATTTGAAGGCATACTCAAGGCCTGCTCAAGAGGAAACTGCTTGTCTCTGGTCATATATACACTCATCTCTACGTAAGACTGATTGACTGACTGACTGATTTATTGACAGTCTAACTGATTGACTGACCGAATGCCTGGTTGATTGTCTGACTGATTGATTGACTGACTGACTGACTGACTGACTGATTGACTGACTGACTGACTAATGGACTGACTAATTGACTGAATAATTGGATGAATGATTGATTGACTGACTAACTGACTGATTGACTGATTGACTGACTGACTGCTGACTGCCAGCTGACTGATTAATTGACTGATTGATTGACTGACTGACTGATTAACTAATTGACTGACTGACTGATGGATTGACTGATTGACTGACTCATTGACTGAATGATTGATTGACTGACTAACTGAATGATTGACTGATTGACTGACTGCTGACTGCCTGCTGACTGATTAATTGACTGACCGACTGACTGATTGATTAAATGATTGACTGACTGACTGACTGAACGACTGACTGACTGTTGTTACCTCATGAGACATTCTACGCGCAATTGTGAAAAAGTAGCGGAAATCGGCTGCCTGAAACATTTTCTGCTTAAACATATTTATTCATAGTTAAAGTAGGAAAAAAACAGACTTCTTGTTTAGCATTAGCTCAGATTACTTGGTATAAATCTAGCATATAGGCAAGGCCTTTAATCCAAAATTGTTTAAAATAGAATCGGAATACGTAATCCGGAACATAAGTTAGAATACTTGAGTCTTGATTCCAGGGTATCTACCAATCAGGCATGTTGACAATGTGAATAAAACAAATTTCAACTCTCAATCAGAACAAAAGCTTTCAAGCTGTTATTTATTGAATAGATCGAAGCTCAAAAACGTAATCCCCATGGCGGGATCAAAATTTTCGTCCATCTGAATAGTCGATGAATATGGCCCAAAGTTAAGGGCACAGCTTATGGGCCATTCAAATAAATGGCTTAGACCGGTGTCTAAATAATTAAGCCTAACATAAAAGTGGCATTCAAAGTTGAAAAGTATCTATATATATTTAAATATGTGTTGTGTGAGTATATTAAGTCGGACAACGACTTGCTACTAATTAAAGCCCAGTGGCAAAGCTGGGTGGGGGGAACCCTTTGCTTTATGGCATCAGCAACAAACAAAAGAAAACAAAAAAAAAAACCTGCAACTTGAGCGGAAATTCTAGTTGAAAAACTGGCGCAACTTTTGGTAACAAGCAGATGAGTGTGGCAGGTGATGGAGGAGGAGGGGGGTTGGGTGGTAGACGGCGGGCTGGCACTTGTTACAAAATCTTTTGTGTCATGTAGCTTTAATTGAACGAGAGACGAGGCACAAACACACACACACACACACACACACACACACAGAGAGACGCAAAAGTTTGAAAGGGTCTTAACTGAATGAGACACCCAATACGGCAGCAAGGGTAACTAAGGGGGCAAGTGGCAAGTGTGGGGCGCAGCACAGAGACAGAGGCACAGGAGCACAGGACATTGCACACAACTCTTTTGTCTATGCATCAAATATTTATAGAATTGTTCAATTATTAAAACAAATATGAATAGCAACTAAAAAGCATGAGAGGCAGCCATTGCTGCTTTGACTCGCTCTCTTGCTCGCTCCCGCTATCGACCTCCCGACCTTCCGCTCTCTCGCTCTCACACTCGCTCCATAGCGCTGTTCTAACGGCATAAAAAGCTCATGCTTGCTATTGCTCTCGCACTCGCACTCGCAATCGCTGACGCTCTCAGGCTCTTTGGCTCTCAGTCTAGCTGTTGTGTTTTTTGCCCATGCTTCTAACCATTTTGCTTTGTGTTGCTTTGTTAAGCATTTAAACTGATTACAGCTGAAAAGTATGCAACAACAAAACGCCAATAGCCAGCAGCCCAGACCGCCCAGACCGCCCAGACCGCCCCCAAACTCTGGGTGGGGCACACTCATATTTATTTATCTTCTTGAATGTGGCCCAGCCGAAAACTAGCAAACGATATGTCTGTGCGTCTGTGTGTGTGCGTCTGTGTGTGTGTGTGTGTTTGTGTGTAGAAAACATACCACGCCCCCTCATGCGAGGTTTAGAAATGGACACAAAACTTGGACACGTACACAGGCTATAAATACATGGATATACACACATACAGGGTGTTTCTGTGTGTGTATTTGGGCTCTGCTCTGCGCTGTGCCAATTATGTAAAACTCTAAAATGATAAGCAGGCGCATGGGGGAGGCCTACGAAAAACAATAAGACAGCAACCGACACAACCGTGACCAGCCTCGATGTATATAAGAGACGTCAACTGAGAGCAGTGAGAATGTAGGGGCAGACTGGAGAGCGGGCGGAGGGAGGGAGGTAGGGGGCGTCTAGGTGGCACTGCTTGCTATAAAAACTACAAGAGCTGGCCACTGTCTGCTGCCCGCTGCCCGCTGCCTGAGCAAACACAATGGCAAAGTCTTCAATTATAAACCAATCCCAAAATTAGTCTGACTGTTATTGGTTTGCACCCTTGGCACTCTCTCTGAGGTGCGCGCACTCGCTCACACGCGCTGGTCTGCTGCGGCGTAGGCTGCTGTTGCTATTGCTATCTCTTTTCTGGCCATGCGCAACCACCCTGCGCCGTGAGAGCATGAGCGCAGCTTTGGCCTATGCGCCAGGGTATGGGCTGGGTGGGGGAAGGGGGCCGCACAGCGTGCGGACAGCGACTGCGGCTGTGACAGCTTCTGCTGCTGCTGCGACGGCTGCGACGGCTGCTGCTGCTGCATTGTGGTTGGCTGAGGCTTATGCAAAATTCATTTGGGCAGTGCCCACGAAAGCAGACGATGCGGGGGCGATGCCGTTTGCTGTTTACGTCGACGTTCACGTACACGTTGCCGTGGCCAGTGTTGCCCCATTTCATTAAGCGCATAATTTGTAATTAATAAAATTATGCAGAAAAAAAAAAATATATATATATATATATACATATATATGAGCTATGACATTCCACGCTAGATGGCGCCAGCCAAAGTTGAGCACAGCGCAAATGATGAGCAAACAAATGACAATGGCTGCCGTTAGCCAGAGCGAGATGGCTGGCGTGTGTGGGTGTGGCGTTTAGTTGTGTGCGTCCCACAGCTGCGCTAGCTGCGTGGGTGTATATACGTGTGAGTGTGTGTGTGTGTGTGCTAGATATGCATAATCATTAGGCAAATCAAATGCATTTTGGCAATGCCAAATAAAAAAAAACCCATCAACTGCCCGGCCTAAGCCGAAGCTTTGCACTCGCACTCGCACGTGCACACACACGCACACACTCACACACACATTCGCATGCAGATGCGCCCTCGCACTCACACGAGCGCGCTCTGCCGCTGCTGCTTCGTTGTGTTGTTTCGTTCAGTGCGCCGCCATTTTGCTTTTGTTTTGCGCTTTGCATTCGTTTTTCTTTATTTGGCGTGTGTTTATTTTGTTTTTGTAGGTTGGGAACGTTGCGCGCTTCGCTTCATTATTTATTAACAACTTAGCCAACATAATTTATTTATTTGCCAGTTTGTTGATAAACATGTGAGTGCTCAGCGTGCGCTCTCTTTTTAGCTAACTCTCTCTCTCTCTCTCTCTCTCTCTCTCCCTTCCTTGTTTTTTAGCAATTTAGCCATTTGTCTGTCTGTCCGTCCGATTGTTTACGCGCAAATGACCTCATTACATATAATGTAATTTGTTCCTGCCGCCCGTTTTTCACGTTCTCTTTATTTCTCTGTCCGCTGTGTTTTTGCTTTCATTTTTTTTATATTTGTTATTACCCACTTTTGGCATAATAAAGCGTTTTTGGCGCCATTACCTGCTGCCGGCATTTTCATTTGCTTTTTCTCTTCTTCTCTTCCTCTGTTTTATTTTTTTTTTGTTTTTGTTGCTGTTTTGTTTTGTTTTCGCGTCTCGCATGCTTTGTTATTGTTCATTAATTTTTTAGCATTTTGTTAATTTGTTATGGCGCTGGCTGCTCCGCTGCAGACAGCTGTTAATATAGTTATTGACTGGGTCATATGTGGGTTGGCACAGGTTTTCGGAATGTTTGTATTAATCGCTTCTCACTTCCAGAATACTCAAGGACAAATTAATGCATTTGATTTGCCGTCGTGTCGCCGTATCGCCGTGTTGCCCGTGGAACGGGCACGAATGTGCGCGCCAAAGAAGAATCGGCAATTAGCTTTCCACAAGAGCAGAAAACGAAAACAGCCAGGGTAACGTTAACGAATGTGCCACAAAAAGGAAAATGAAACAAACAATAGCTGCAGAGCAAGCAAAACGTTTACAAACATGACCCCAAAAAGGAAAAATAAAACACGAATTGCAGTCACTCGATTAAGGAGATGCCAGTACGTAATATATGCAGCGACGTTTGTGGCAAACTTCTATAAGTTAAACGTTTACGAATAAGCCACAATAAAGAATTGAAAGAACATTGTATTGATATGTTTGTATTCATCTTAGCGGCTCATATGAGAGCAAAACACAAACAGGGAATGTACATATATATATATATATAGAAATATAAATATATATATATATATATGTATGTATGTATAATATGTGCATTCCACAAAT